AAAAAAAAAGGCAGGCTGAGGACATGGGGTTGGGGGGACCATCGGGTCCGGCTCTGTTTCACAGGTAGAGGGTGGTAATGGACAGATCGCTTCTGCTCTAGTAAAACAAGCTGTTTGGAGACCTTAGGGAATGAGTCATCCTAGAAAGATCCTTTTTTCTTGCCAAGTTGTGTTTTTTTTTTTTTTTCACATAGAGAATAATTATCACCAATATTCATTTAAAAAAATATCTCACCACAGACAGAAATGAAGTACTCTGTATCCCTTCCTGATACCCTCCCCCTTCCTCCCCAGAAGGAGCTGCTGCCCTGCATTCACTGTTGATCATTCACGTGCATGTTTTTATACTTTTCCTACATATGTATATATTAGTCTTTTTTTTCCTGATTTCTTTTCCTGGATGAAACTCTATGTTTTCCTTCTTTCTGGATACATTTTGAAGGATAGAGCTACAGGATTTATTGATACTAGATCAGATATAGGATAAGAGAGAGAGGAATTGAAGATAATCCCCAGATGTGGGCCTGAGCAAATGGAAGCACTTTGTCTATATTATATGTGGAGATTTCCCTGAGCTGACCTTCTAGGATAGATGAAATCATACACTGCCTGCCGTTACATTTTCCATCCTTAATTTATTTCTGGCTACATTCCGTGTAACTCATGTTGTCTCTTAACCCTTCACTAGAGGAAGTTTGTGTATACCACAGGGCAGTTTCATTGAGAATAAGTCTTGTTAGGCTGCTGTGTGTTCCCTACTGTGCAGCTTGTGGCACTAGCACCATTCTGACTTAGCCTGTCACTGGAATGTGATGATGGATGCTCAGGTGGTCATTTGTCCCCAACCCCACAGAATTGGCTTCTGTCTTCAAGGCTTTCGGGACAGAGATGCAAGTGGCACTGGAAACCTTCTTTCAGTGCTGCAGAATGTGGAGCCTTTCCATGTTTTCATCACTGCTGCTGGCTTTATCTCCTCTGGCTCTTCCCTGCCCACGTTCCTCTCATCTTCTTAACTCTTCTGTGCAGCATTGTGAAGTTTACTCAGTGAATAAAACTCTACCCTCTTAAATTTAGACAAACATTAATTTCCTTATATAGTTACCTGATAGATTCCTCAGCTCGTTATTTTTAATATCTAGATCTGTAGCTCTTTTTCCCTGTTGCTATACCTGGAGGCCACTTTTTAATGTCCAGAGAAAGATTTTGTTTTGTTTGGTTTTAAGTTCTTTTCTCTTGATTTTTGGGTCTAAGGGCCCTTCTGGAAGGGTTCCTGAGGATTCTGTGAAACTCGATTTCTAGATAGCTTAAACCTTATATAAAAGATTTAACTTTAATAGCCTGAGGCTTGTTTGATTCTGGGCCATTTAAGGCCACCAGTAACATTTGTGTTTTTTCCTCTCTTTAGCACGAGTCTGCTTTGCCCTGGGATGACCATAGACCACAAGTTACCTGGCGTGGTGATGGACAGTTTTTTGCTGTGAGTGTTGTTTGCCCAGAGACAGGTATGGAAATAAATTTTTCTTACTTTTGCTTTGAGGGTTTTCTTTCATTACACCCATGAGGTAACAATGTGCTGCTTTAGGTGTTAAACGAATATAGAGCTAAGAATCAGAAGAGTTCTTTGAGGCTATTTGGCCCAGCCTCCTACCTGTTGGATATGAATTTTTTTTTTAAAGCATTAAAAAAATTTTTTAAATTTATTATTTATTTCTAAATTTATTTTATTTATTTATTTTTGGCTGCGTTGGGTCTTTTGTTGCTGCACGTGGGCTTTCTCTACTTGCGGTGAGCGGGGGCTACTCTTCATTGCAGTGCACATGCTTCTCATTGCAGTGGCTTCTCTTGTTGCGGAGCACGGGCTCTAGGTGCGCGGGCTTCAGTAGTTGTGGCACATGGGCTCAGTAGTTGTGGCTTGCGGGCTCTAGAGCGCAGGCTCAGTAGTTGTGGCACATGGGCTTAGTTGCTCTGCCGCATGTGGGATCTTCCCGGACCAGGGCTCGAACCCGTGTCCCCTGCATTGGCAGGCGGGTTTTT